AAAAATGGTGTATCAAACATAGTCTTACGCGGTTACCAATTAATGACTGAACAATTGAATTGAAAACTAAAATTTATAGTAAACTCTATCTAACACAATCAACACTTAAAAGACTGAAAAATTTACAGGATTTGGTTGTTAGGAACTTCAATTTCACTTAGGTCAATTAATGCTCATTTAATTCAATATACTATAGCCCTCTTTATGGGTTTTAACAACTGAATTATCTAAATCAACTAGTAATCTCTCTGAGTTGAGTTAGTCCTACTTTCATGAACAAATTTACCGTATTTGAAATTTTACGATATCCTTATTTGAAATTCGATACATATAATGCATTCAATCATAGAAATTCAATTGAGGTTACAAGAGTATCTCTCAATCTCTGATCAAAATTTATATCATTTATTCCATGAGCTAGACAAATATATAGGGTTCGTTTGGTAGTGATTTTGAAAATTGATATTTTGACAGTTAAGGAGAAAAGTGGGGACCATATGTAAGTGAAAAAGTAAAAAATGATTGCTTGAATAGTGAAAAAATGGTCAAAAAATCAATTTTTTTGGGTGAAAAAGCACTACCAAACGGGGTCATAATCTATCGTCCCTAAATTCATTTATTGTTGCTCAAGCTATTAAATTAAATGAAGCACACAATAATCAATTAACACAACAAAAATATGGGCGCGAAGTCTTTGAATTAATTAAACATCAATAACATAAGCTACATCATTAATCCTAACAACAAAATAACACTGCTCATAGTTGCAAAAAAATACAGATGAAGGATAAAGAGCATCACTTGCTACATTTAAAATGAATAAAGAGAAAAGAAACTCGAACAATCGTTGATCTTCGCCACACGAATCCCAACAATGATTCTTCAACCTATTCCTTGGTTATTGTAGATCTCCCTCGAATTAACATTGTTTTCTACATGATTATAATTTTGCTGCATTTGTCTACTCTATTACTAAATGTTTGATACCTAATATTAGATGACATGGGAGAGTCATCTGATCAAAATCTCAACTTATTTTTCTTTTTAGATTATACCTCATATTTACACCTTAAAAACTTAAGTGCAGAATTATATTCGAAACTTCTAACATTATGAGCCTGTTTGGGAGTGATTTTGATAATTGATTTTTTGATCGTTAGGAAAAAGGTGGGGTCTACCTGTGAGAGAAAAAGTCAAATATGATAGCTGAAATAATGAAATAACGGTCAAAAAATCAATTTTTTTGGTGAAAAAAGGAGCCCAAACAGGCCCTTAATTGACACTACAGTCCAGCTTGGGAAACCTTAGCAAGTGGTCTGATTTAGCTTAGTGACCAAGCTACATCTGAAACCTTTGTGTTAAGTAAAGAGAAAAAAGAGGGGGGATATCTAAGTGGGAGCCATGTGTCACCGATGTAGATAGTTCACTTTATTTTAGTCAAATTTTTGCAGTTTCTCATCCCATGTTTTTGGCTAATTTCGGAAGGTCGATCAGGGCCGAATAATCGAGATCTTGGTATGAATGTACAACCCTTGTGGATTAAGCTAATACGACATTGCCGAAAACCAAAATCAGCAACAAGAGCAACCATTTCGATTTTCTTGTTGTCGTCATTACTTTCATCCGACTTTTGATGTGTCCAGTATTCAAAAAGACAATATCAAGATACCTTTGCAAAAAGCTCATGGAGGACTTCATTTTCATTTATTCAAATTACTAAATGGTTACGAAACCAAGAGGAATGAATCACCCGAAAATGGACCGTCAACTCATTTTTCACATTATATATGTTATATCCTTATAAGTTACTAAAATACGGAATATAAAATGCTTTAACTATTCAAAAAATTATGACGAATTTTTCGAGATGTTAAAGTTAGGATGAGTGTTACAACCGCACTTACCGTAAAAAAACATAGATGGTAACCCATCGACTTCAAAGAATGCACAAAATACTACACCTTTGTGATACAATCAAAATGGCCAAAAATAGGTGTACGTCTACTTTCTCAAACCAACCAAAAGCCATGATTTGCACGTTTTATGTGCTATTAACCTAGTTAATTGTGATTTTCCAGAATTTTTTAGATTTTTTGCGAGTATTGTAGGTAAGAAAAAGACAACCAAACAAGAATATGCGAAAAAGAATGTACCTAGTAAGTCCTATAAACAAAGGAAATAGTTGGGTCTTTATTTTCTTATTATAATTATAATACAATAAAATTGATGAAAAGATGGGTCCATTGGAATTCTTAAGTATAGGAACAAGCCCTCCCAAATAGAGATTTTTTCTTTCGACTAGATTTCAATTGTGTCACATCAAGCCCTTGCAATGAGATACGTCACGCGGAGATCTTATATTTATTTAGAATTGAGTGTAAGTTTTATGGCTCTATCGCTTGGTTTTAATGTCAAAGTCAACAATAAATTTTAATTATATTTTATGAGACAAGATGGACTAATCAATTGAATATTAGAGATAAAAATGCAACTAAAAATTGAGGATATAAGTTTGAAAATATTGAAAACCTTCATTGGATTTTTAATGTGGTGTAGATAATAAAAAAATGTGGCTTGAGTAAATAACCTTTTTGTAACAATTATGCAAAATGTAGTATATAAAACCTCTGTTTGGTAGCAATTTTTTATTCCAAAAAATCAATTCTTTAACCGTTATTTCAATATCACAGCTATCATTTTTTATTTCTTTACTCATAGATAAAACTTACTTTTCTCTCTAACGGTCAAAAAATGAATTCTCATAATCACTACCGAATAGGCCCAAAATATAACGTTATAAAATATGATATGTAAAATAAAATTACACCCTATATACATTGTGTATTTTGCAAATTTCCCAAATAAAAATTAGATTAAAACCCTACACATAATGGATTTTGAGGATGATATTGGTAAGGGCTTTGGCCTAAATTAATTAGGGTAAAGTCATAACTTGTCCTCCTTGACTTAAAAACAAAATGTAGTTTTTGTAGACAAATTCAACTTAAAGTTCATATTTTCCCCACCTTGAACCCTAATGGCTAAAGATGAGTAGTTTGCAAAATGACAGTTTGATATATTCTGAATTCTTGTACTATTTTTATTACCCCACCTCTTATACGAATCTTTTGTATTACTCGACAGTGTAGTACAATATAATTTTTCATCATTACTATTCATTGTAAATATGAATTCTTATCCCTCAATTAATTAGAAGTAACTACACACATATGGGTGAATTCAGGATTTGATCTAAGACCGGATTACAAATTTTCAAGTAGGTCTAATACGTGGTTTGATCTAAGACCCGATTACAAAATTTCAAGTAGGTCTAATATGTGGAAAAAAAATTACACATGAAAAATTGTTTTTAAAAAAAAAAAAAAAAAACTTACAAAAAGGGAAAATTCTTGGGTCTTGGGGTGGAGGGGGGGAGGACTACAATCTAGCCCAATCCCCCTACATCCGCCCCTGTGTACATGTAAATATACATATTGTGACCTTAAATGGTATGTTTAATGAGGTCATCAAATTAAGGGGTTGTTTGATTAAAAAAATGGTAAAAATTTTAGCAAATTTTGATTAAAAAAAATAAGGAAATGTGTAGTTTGAAAATGGATAAAAGTTGTAAATCTTATAAAATATAGTTAAAATTCATTATTGATTTTGATAAATTTTTTGGAAAAAAACCGTTACCAAAGATAAGATGTGCAAATTAATATAAAGTTGAATATGATAAATTAAACTTAAAAAGCAAATAATTTTAGTAAAGTAATAAAATATTAAAAATTTAGAGAATATTTCGCTTGACTCTACCAAAGTTCTAAAATCAAATATAAACTTTAAATGTTATATTCTAACTAAAAAAATTGTCCAATGCATAAAATTAAAAACAATCCATTAAGATAATATATTGATATTGAGTAAATTTAACTAATGTTCACTGAACTTTAAACTTGTTACTACTTACTCACTCATCTTTCTATATAGTTACCCATCTATCACTCGTCTCTTCAAATAATTGGGCTATCTTTGCGGCAACTTTCCGAAACTTTCAACCATTAAGACTGTCGAATTTTGATACCGTTGGAAAACCCACGATGTCTTCTTCAATGACTACCCAAAATATCCCATAACTCCAAGAAATTCGACCGAAAAAATGCCACAAAAGTCGACCAAAAAATCTGAAAATCCAGGTAGATTTTCAAAATTTTTGGGCGACTTTTGCGTCAATTTTTCAGTCGAATCCCTTGGAATTATGGAGAGATTTTGGATGGTCATTGAAAAAGACATCGTGAGCTTTTCAACGATATCAAAATTTGACGATCTTGGTAGTCAGAAGTTGTCGAAAAGTTGTCGTAAAAATCTCCCAATTATTTGAAAAGACGAGTGGTGGATGGATAACTATATGGAAAGATGGGTGAGTATTCAATAACGCGTGAAAGATGAGTGAGTAAATAGTAACAAGTTTAAAGTCAGAGAGCATTGGTTAAATTTACTCTATTGATATTATATGTGATTTTTAAGCCGAAAGTTAATTTCTTATTCATTTTAAATTTTGTGTAGTTCTGCAATTTAAAAAATTGCTAAAAGTACATTCGTAATTTATTGATATTTGTTGTGGATTTATTTTTTCTTTAATGCGAGAAAGATTAATAGAGGATAATAATATATAAATATAACTAATAAAATATATAATTTTATGAAGAAAATGAAATTGAAAAAAAAAAAAAAAAAGTGTATGATACAATGAGAGAATTCGACTAATAAATGTTCATTTCTGACGGGATAGATTAATGAGAGAGAAAAATAAAATTAAATGAAAATGAAAATAAATAGCAATTGAAATTTGGAGAATGAAATAAATAGCTAAATAATTTAGTATATGTGTTACATAATGGAATACAAAGGTTGTTATTTGTTATTTCCAATTATGGATTACATAAATTATTTTAGCATATTTTTGTTACCATATGTAAAACGTAGTTTTATAGTGTAAATTCTAGAAATCGATAGCTTATGAACTGAGCAAATATCTAAGTAATACAATCGACAGAATTTATTCTGCCTAATACACGTTTGGTTTGTACAAAGTGACTAATCCACACCGTCGCAAGCAAATACAAACAGGATAGAAGTAAATTCTCCCTTTCATTTGTCTCCTCACTGTGTAAGCAGTTTTGAGTCGCAAGCCACAATCTTCACGTGACCAACCATCTCCTGAAAATCTTCGCTCTTCAACTGAGCATTTTGTAAGATGAAAGTCCAAACGTTGTCACAGAATCTGTAGGTGTGAAGATGTCCCTGCACCAAACTTAGTGTTATAATTACAGGATCTGTGTTCAGTCTACTGCAAGTTTAAAATCAAAAGGATTCTAGAAATGGAAGGAAGATAAGTAACAGAGAATTATGAGAAATCAATCTGGCAAAACAATCAAAATGGCTGAATATACAAGGATTCGACATCTAAACCCCCCAAAAAAACAAAAGAAAAGAAAAAAGAGGAGGACAGGCAATTGGAGGAAGAAAAAATGGCAAAGAACTAATAGCAAATTGTTCTACAAGAAGAAAGAGTCATGGACGAATAAAACAATCTTGACAAGTAGCAGATTGATGGTTATTGCTCGAAAAAGATTTTGGGACTGAAAGTTAATAAAAACTGTTTACCCAAAGATTAGAATCAAGAAAAAAAAGGGAACTTTTACATGTCTATTGAAAGCATGAACCATTATAACAAATTGGTAGATAAAATTTATGGAAATTTTTTTATACATTAACTAAGCAGCAAAAGAAAGAAGAAAGTCAAATTGAAAAATCCTCTATAACAAAGTATATATTATATATACACATTTTTGTTATAGTTTAATGCAAACACCTTATTTAACAGAGAGAAACATAGATAAAGAAAGAAAACCCAAAAGCATTCCACAATTTCTCTTGTAGATATATGTGGATTCAACAAGACATTCATAATCTCCAGTCCTGTTATAAGAAAGTTGTGACGAACTAGCAGTTAAAATTTGGGCCTGAAATGAGCTTTATATGTCTAAGACTTAGATAAACATGAAAGTTATTAAGAACGTGATATTTAACATTTCGGACGGTTATGAGCTTCATGTGTCCAAAATTGGATAAACATGAAAATTATGGCAAACTTAGCATTTAAAGTTTGGCCTTGTTATAAGACCTATGTGCGTCATAAGTATTTAATAAATGTGAAAGTTATGATGAAGGTAGCATCCAAAATTTGGCCTTAAGCTTCACGTCTTCAAACAATTTATCATTGGAAAAAAAATAGCTTGTGCCAACAAGTTCTACATCCCAAATACTTGAAGCAATATGGAAGGAAAAGAAATATTTATCAATGATGCCTGACCGTTCAAGGAGAGAGTGACAAAACTATAGTGCAACCTTCTAGACAAGCCCCTGTCCATAGGGAGGTCTAGGTGAAATCTTGTATTTTACTTCTCCTCTCAGATTTTTATCCCACAATCTGCAACAATTCCAAAATGCACTTCTCTCACCACTTTTTGTGAACGAAACTCTAAGATTTATCCTTCTAGTACCTTAAAATCCTAATCTCACACTTAAGCACATCACTGTTTTTAGCTTCAGAAGGGAATGGATGAAAAGAGTTGCCCAACTAGAAAGGAAACACAGCATTGACAAACCACACATCAACTAACACACTGAAATGACACCTGCACTCAAAAAGGAAAAGAGCATGCTACTTATACGAGAAAGAATCTGCTGCCGATTGAAGGGGGTGAACATCTCTTAAATCATTACTACCATCTGAAACAACATTTGGACACAATTCAAACTCAAAATTCCATCTCTGCACTTCGAATAGGGTGTTTACTAGCTGCTACTTTGCCGCATGATGCTACTAAGAACTGAGAGCATAAGTACTCCAGCGGTCCTACAATCTCATATTCAAAAAAACGGTTGCTTCCAATCTTCTTATATAAACTCTCTTCCTTTATATACTCGTTACAATGAGGGATATCTCATAATGTTATCTCAAGCTTATTTAATATTCTGCAAATTCTGCTAACTGCTATAAAGCTGGTGTATAATGCATAAATAGACTGCAGTTATAAAATTTCTCTGCTTCCTATAACTGTGGAGCATGTCTCATACCTATAATTCCCAGTTTTCATATTTTTTCCGTACAACTCATAAAAGATATAAATCACTCATTATATAAGTGTACATATGCAACTATACAAAATTCTAATAAAATTACATTCTATATTAGTAGAATTTTGTTTTTGAAAGATCATTCAAGATGCAGACCTACATTGACTTCTGAACAAAAGAGGTTTGCTTTGCACACTAGTACTCGCACTACAATTTGTGAATTATTACTAATGGAAATGTGATAAGTGGAACTGAGGCTGTGATAAGTGGAACTAATTCAGCCTCATGATATTTATTTTGCTATGGTAAGGTAGACCTAAGAAGGAGCTTTTTTGTTTTCAGGAGTATTTCCTATCACTATTAAGCCAAAAAGAATCCGCTCTTTTTGCGAAAATATTTGTCACAGCTTTTTCATCGTTCTATCCTCATAAAGTATTAAATATAGTACTATTTTACTAACAAATCATTGTGAGTGTACTTCAGGAGATGCACACATTTAAAGAGAGTATGCCTTGTTTCCCATCTTAGTCTTATAGAACACAAAAAGCTCTTGAAATTTAAAAGTTTACTATGTTGATTAGCTCCTGTGCAACAATATGGTGACAGGCAAAGATATACTGACAGACACTGCAAAGTGCTCCTGTCACGAAAGTAGATAAATATGGTTTCTAGCGCACTACAAAAATCAAATGTAGAACCCTGTTTGACAAAGCATTTTTAAGATTATAAGTTGATCAAACTTCATTTTTAACCTTACATTTAACTGGACCGACAACTTATGTCCATTTTTTAACCACACATTTCATGGGACACACCAGCTTATAATCTCAAAAAGCTTTGTCAAACAGGTGACTCAAGGGTATTTAATCTCGTCATCTTCAATTTTCTTGCAAAGACCAAAAAGGGTTGTCTAAATTGTGCATCAACTTTGCAACTCTTTCAAAGTTGGACACATGTTTCCAACCATAAAGTTATGAAGTTGCGTGCTTTGAGGATTAATATACATACATTACCAGTTTGGCAACAGAAGGATGGCTGAGCAACCACAAAAAAAATTTATAGCAGTTAGAAAATTAATTTAAGCAATGAACTAATGTACTGATTAAATTGATGAACTAATTACGATAATTTTTTCTACAGGTCAGCAGAGTTAATATTCTTTGCTTCTCAAATAAAAGGCCAACTTTAATTACATACCTACAAAGACAAACCTTATAACACACACACACACATATTTTTTCTGTAAAATAAAATTTCTTTACCTTAATAGAAACCTTGCTCTTCACCAGGTTTTCCAATGCCTCAGTCATCGACTGCCCGCCATAACAACAAAATCAAACCATTTATACATCTACGTATATTTTCACGCATTAACACTCAAATAAGCAGACACGCAGGCATAAATTCTTTAAATAAGAGACTGTGACCTTGTCAAATTGAACAAGGACTTGAATGGCGAGCTCAGGGCTGAGAACACCACTCGAAACCATCTCGTCAAGCGTCTCCGTCAGGCACATGCCAATCGTCGATCTCCTGTACAACTCAAACGTCGCCATTCTTATTTAACGATACTCCGATCTATCCAAAAGCCACAACCAAAGAAAAATTTAAGATCTATTTCATATCGATTAACTTCTTCAAAATTTCAAATCAACTAGAAGACAAATAATCATTAGTAACTTAAAAAGAACGATGATATTAACTTGATAAATACGCTAAATTAATTACTTCGATGTGTATATATACAGAGAGAGGTGTGTACGTATAGAGTGAAGTTTCGAGCTCTGGGATTCCTATGAGCGTGGGAGAAGAAATGGGGCTTAATATACCCTAATTTTGTAGCTAGGGATTTATATAGGCGAGTGATGATGGCAATGAACTTCGAAAAGACAATATTGCCCATGTGTTTTATCTCATTTTCATAATTTATGAGGGGTCTCTACGGGAAATAGGAAAAACAATTTTTTTTTTTTTTTAAAGATAATTGTGGATACTTGTCTCAAACGTGGCTTCAAATTACGCTTACGCTTAGAGCCATTGCGAAAATGGAATTTGGGTGAAAAGAAAATAAATTGTATGAAATTAAATTGTCTAAAACTTATTTTAGTGGAAATTATCAATTAATAGTGTTTGATTGATATAATTTTCTACCTAAAAAATATTGAAATAAAAGTGTCTTTTGGTATTCGTTTGACTTTATTTTTTATGAAAATTATTAATTTAAAGGATATAATCTTTTACAATTGTTCCTTAAATTTGTTTCCATTGTCAAATTTTTATTTTTTTAAGAAAACCAAAAATCATCTATTTTTTATATTCGTTTGACTTTGTTTTTCAAAAAAATTGTCAATTTAAGAGATATCCCTTTTTACAATTGTTCCAAAATTTATTTTCATTGTTTAAAAAAAAACAAAAAACCAACCAAAGTGGTAGAAAAACCAAGAAATGGTAACCATATGGGACAAAGCAAGAATTTCAATTGCTAAGAAAATTTTTCCTATCAAACAAGTAAAAAGTGGAAGATGGAATTCCTTTACTATTTTCCATGAAAAAAAATGGTGTATCAAACATAGTCTTACGCGGTTACCAGTTAATGACTGAACAATTGGATTGAAAACTAAAATTTATAGTAAACTCTATCTAACACAATCAACACTTAAAAGACTATGAAAAATTTACAGGATTTGGTTGTTAGGAACTTCAAATTCACTTAGGTCAATTAATGCTCATTTAATTCAATATACTATAGCCCTCTTTATGGGTTTTAACAACTGAATTATCTAAATCAACCAGTAATCTCTCTGAGTTGAGTTAGTCCTACTTTCATGAACAAATTTACCGTATTTGAAATTTTACTATATCCTTATTTGAAATTCGATACATATAATGCTTTCAATCATAGAAATTCAATTGAGGTTACAAGAGTATCTCTCAATCTCTGATCAAAATTTATATCATTTATTCCATGAGCTAGACAAATATATAGGGTTCGTTTGGTAGTGATTTTGAAAATTGATATTTTGACAGTTAAGGAGAAAAGTGGGGACCATATGTAAGTGAAAAAGTAAAAAATGATTGCTTGAATAGTGAAAAAATGGTCAAAAAATCAATTTTTTTCGGTGAAAAAGCACTACCAAACGGGGTCATAATCTATCGTCCCTAAATTCATTTATTGTTGCTCAAGCTATTAAATTAAATGAAGCACA